TGTATATGCAAATTATATGTTTGGTTTATTTACAGATGATCCATATACTACTGCTGATAATTGGCTGCTCAAGGAGAATCTGCCTCTTTCATATCGTGAGCAGGTTGTGAATTTCATACTACAAAATACTGGACAAAGAAATTTTACTCCTGATCCATCATTTCGTGACCCCTACACTGGTGGTAAATGACATGAACTACTTGAATCCGGTTTCTTTTATATACTGCCCTCTTTTTTCATCCGCTTTCATTTTATCGGAATAGTTTTTGTATCGCTGTGTAATTTCAGCCAATGCTTATATTCCGGGAGAGCCTTCAAAAGCTCCTGGTTCGTACTACGTTGCCACTGAACCTTTCAAACTTTTTTTGGTTTTTAGTAAATTCATTATCTAAGTCGATTTAGAATTTTTATCCGTTGTTGCTTAATAGGTACAGCAAAACCTACTCTCAAACACGTCCCAAAGGTAACTAAATCCTCTAGTCTAGACTTTGAATCGTATGGTTAGAGCATAGAATGTTCTCTATAGCTAAATTACAGTTGAGTCTGAGATATATATGCATTTTTTTCCAGAAAGGAATGCTTGTATTTGATGCTGCTCAATTTGATGGGATTCTGAAGAAGATTTCAGAATTCAATAGCACTCTACAATCTGACTCAGTAATAACTAACCCTAAACTTGAAAATTGTTTTATTTTCTCAATATTTAAGCTTTTACAGATACAAATGGTCTTGACTTATACTCTTGAGAAATGGTTATTTACTCTAGGAGAGAAGTAATTTGTCAATAAATGAGGCTGAGACGCCAAGACTGGCTGCTATTGTTAAAATTCTGAAGGACACATCACACTATCACAGCAGTAGCTTTTCAGATACTGATCTTGGATTGGTTTTGAGGTTACTTAAGACATGGCCATTATCAATGCTATTTCCCGGTAACTGCCTTCTTAAAATTTTATTTTCATTAGAATAACTAGATTGTTTTACAGGTTATTAATTGACCAAGTATTACTTTTCAAGACTGTTTAAGGTTTGATGACAAGTTCACATTTTTTTTCTTCTTTGGCAGTCATTGATGTCTTGAGGATGTTAATTTTACACCCTGATGGGGCAAATATCTTACTCAAACATGTCAACATTGATAATGGTATCAGATTTTCTGTCTGGCAATTTGAATAGATTTTATTAGAAACCTGTTAAAGATCATTGCTATCATTGCGGAACCATGTACATCAACTATCATTTTCTCTAATCTTTGTTTACGGTGTACTTGCTCTATGAATGACCTTCCTTCCTGCTCTTTAATTTTTTAAAGCTGTTAAGTTAATTATTTAGTTTTTTTTTTTAATTCACCAGATACACTTGTCGAGTTGCTCAAGAAGGTGACCGTGAATCCCATTCCTGCTAATCTCCTAACAAGCATTCGTGCCGTGACAAATCTTTTCAAGAACTCAATCTTTTATGATTGGTTACTAAAACACCGTGGAGAGGTTGCAATCCTTCTTTAAATAATGAATGCTTTGTGATGGGAATTCAAAGTTGTTATCAGTTTTAATGTCATGCCATTGTATTATTCCACTTTCATTTATTCTCCATGCATATGCCTGCTACTTTGCTGATTTGAGCCCTTGAGTGAATGATGTATACCGATGCTAAGAACATACTCAATGCCATTTCATCTAATAGTATTATATTTGGTCAACTTTATTGTCCACTTTCATTTTAAGCAAGTTTTTTCATCTATAACATTTCTTTATCTCTCATGAGTTGGATTTACATTATTTTTTGTGTTTCTTGAATTAACTTCTCCTTCTGTTGGTTGTGAACACTTAATTTTTGTGTATTTGTGTGTGCAGATTTTAAATGCTTTTTCCAGCTGTTATCTAACCTCAAATAAAAATGTGCAACTATCTTATTCAACATTGATACTCAAGTAAGTTGTGTGAAATCTGTGTATACTTTTTAAAGTTCTTATCTACATAGCTTATAACGATTTATGTTGTTTGTTGGCTAAACTCACTTAGTCACCCTATGTTGATTTTGTTTAATTAATTTTGTTGGGTTTTTAGCTATGCTGTTCTTTTGATTGAAAAGAAGGATGAGGAAGGTCAATCCCAAGTTCTTTCAGCAGCTCTTGAGGTAAATCTCATATTTTACTCTGATGCTTCTTGGCTGGTGGTAGCTTGCAGACCCAATTCCTTGCTGTGTTCTTCAATAGCCTAAGCTATTGTTGTTTGGAAGATGCCATGTGTACACGTTTTTGTGTACACGCCCCATGCTTTTTGTTTGTATTGGGGGCAATTTGTCTAAAAAATACAGAAATTGCTATACTTAAACGTCTGTAATATAAACAAAATATGTGATACACTGATACGTGTACAAATAATGGGTACACCAAACATTGCTGATTGACCATACCATGACTGAAAGGGGGAGCATGGGCACACTGGTTAAGATGTTGCTGTGCAATCGGGATGTCATGGGTTCAAGTTTTGGGGGCCGCATCTAGTAAAAAATTGACAGGAGAATGCTTGCCCCTTACACACCCTTTCTCGGACCATCACCTTGTGGGGATGCCTTCGTGCACCGCACTGCCCTTTTTACTTAACTTATCATGACTTTGGTTAATTGATTCTTGGTCAACGAAAACCTTTGTATGATTAATCAAATAACCAAAAAACAAAAAATAAATGTCTTTTCATTGAATAAATATGAGCTAATTTGGGATGAAAAAGTAAGCACAAAAGTATCCTACCTATTAAGCATGAATAGTTGTAAAATAGCTTAATTCATTGTGTGCAAAATTAACTTTTGCAAATAACAAAACAATTTTTGTTTTGAAATACATTTTTCAGTACGGGTTTTCATTTAACCTTACTTTTAGCTAACCAAGGGGCTTTCAAAAAGCAACACTACCAAAATTTTAAAGGGAAATGTCATTGTTTGTAAGTTTTTGTGCGCCCACCCGTAGCATTAATACGTCTTCTCTCTTTCTCTATCTCTATACTTATATTTAATCATTTGGATACCCAAATAAAGATTGCAGAAGAGGAAAGTATTGATGCTGATTCAAAATTCCGAGCTCTGGTCGCAATTGGGTCATTAGTAAGTCTAAAAACACACTTGTTTTTAGCATCCTCATCATCTAATCTAATTAAGAGATGATCGTGTTCTCCATATTTATCCTAGATAAATAAAAGTAATTCTGTTGTTAATATTACAGATGTTTGAGGGTGTTGTCGGGAGGATAGCAGTGGATTTGGATGTTGGAAATATTGCAAAAGCGGCAAAAGCGTCCATGGATACGAAGATGGCTGAAATCGGAGCTGACATTGAATTGATAATAAAGCAGCAGACTGCAAAATCAAAATAATTTTCTTTATTTTGAAAGAGCAGAGGTTGTTCTAGTGAAAGTGTATTATCTGTGTACATAATGTTGTCTTCTAGATTTTCTTTAAGCAAGTGCTGACGTGCAGTGTGGTTGCATAGCCTTAAAAACTTCAGTACTTTCTGCGTGGTTTTGGTTCATTTGATGCGGATGTTATTGGCTATTGAGAAGTACAAACAAAGCCTTGTCATTTCTATCATTCAGCTAATGATCATATGAATTGAGATTATTCTTTTTTTGAGTGAAGGAAACGAGCTTATATTAAATCAAACGATCCGAAACAATAATGCAAGACCTGAATCCCTTTCTACTCATTCAAAATCAAAACCCATTGACCTCCTCATGTCATGATCAGACATAAAATAAGTCACCCTAGAAAGAGTGAGACTAATCATTGAAATTGTGAGAACTTCTATTAGCGGCTGAATAAGCTGATCGCCCCCAAACAGTAATCTATCAACTAAAACAAACCAAAACACCAATCTACACCTTATTGATTTTCATAGGTAAAACAAAATAGAAATAGTAAAACAGATTGGATTGAGAATAAAAAACTAGAAAAGTAAAGCAGTCATCCAAATCCTAATTGCATAGTTCTTCTGCGGCGGCGGTTCAGGAGGACGTATTTTCATCACTTCCTCTTCTTCCTTTATTAGAATTGGGATTATTCTAAAAATTGATGTTCTAGTCGGCTAAAATTCGGATTATTCTAAACTTGGATGGTTTTCCCAGTTTTTCTGATTGATCAGCCTTACTAATGAAGTGTGGATGTCAGATCATTAAATTTGGATAGGGCTTCTTGGTTTTGGGCTTTTTTTTCATTCAATTGATATTACTCTGCGTTTTTAGAATGGTGCCATTTTTTTACACGCACGGGTAGCTCAGTTGGTTGAGTGATGAACAAGGATCGAATCATGCAACGCCCGTGTGGAGGTTACAGCTCCTGTGTGCTAGGCTGGACCTTTGGTGCTCACAGGTACAAGGTCTACCACCATTGGACTTAATGAGTCACCGTGACTTGCAACCTTCCAAAAGTCTTGTCAAGTCGGGGCGTGGGGGCCCTTGGGCCTTGGGGTTGGGGATTCAACCTTTTGGAAGAGTAGAATGGTGCCATTTTTTCAACATTTTCGTTTTGTAGTTCCGTGCAATTTAAACACTGCTTACTCCGCCTATACCAGGTGTCGTCCACAGTTTCCTTTGACCCATCCTATATTGAGCAATTTATTAATGTCTTATTTGAGTGATTTCAACATTTATTCATACATAATGTATAATTGAACAACAGTACGACGCATTTTTTTATCTTAATAAGATGAGTAATCTGGTCCAATGATGTGAAAAAGGACTGTTCACCCGTCTGGCCGCCGCCATTTGAGACAGCTTTCGGTATATTTTTGGATAGAATTTTATAAACATATTCTTCTTTAAGTGAAGATTATGTTCACTAATTTCAGTTCAAAATCGACACATACGATTTCCTGTACTAAAATGGAAAAAAAAAAAGATTTGACGTATAAACTGGCTATATCGAGAAGAGATGTGTCAACTGTCAAGTAAGAATTTTTCAATATTTTAGGTGTTTTAAATTAGCACTTTTGAGTCGAGTCAAAGAGATGTGTGAAGTTAGAATTTTCCCTTTCCGGTGTTTTCCCTTTCCGAAGTAAGAACAAACACGACACGGGGTAACAAAAAGTCATCAATCCATTATTCCTTCTCTCCTTCCATCCTCGAAACTTCGAAACCAGCTCTCATATATACTAACTACATTCTGTGGAACTGATCTATAGCACTAACTCTGTTGATCCACTTTTATCTCTCTTGTCTTCCCCTTTCCACTCTCTCTCGAAGAGTTTCGGCTTTCAGATCAGTATCAACTGTTCCTCTTTAGATCCCAACCAAGGTTAGATTCTATCTCTCACTCTCTAGCTCTGCTACCTTTTATATTTTCGATAATGACTCGATCTGACTATATTTTATCTTATTCTTTTGTTAAGATTCGTTTCTTTATCATTTTATTTCCTTTTATGGCCGGTTTGTTTGGGGTTAACCTATAAGATTTAATTTCTAGTTAACCCCGTTTGTTTGTGTTATTGTAATAAGAACCTAGCTTATGTGTTAAACTCACTTAACTCCCGAGAATTCCGAAATTCCGAATCGGGGGTTTTGGAGTTATCGTTTAAGAGCTAGAGTACCTTCATCCAAACAACATTTATTACATTAACCTAGGTTCACCTTGAATATTGCCAAACGCTATTTTGCCTATGGAACTAGGTTCAATTAGGTTAACCTAGTTTTTATTAAAACTTAGGTTTACTTTATTGTACTAGGTTTACTTAACTTCACTTTATCCAAACAAAGCATTAATGGATTATTATTTCCAAAAATTGAGCTCAGAACGTGTATATATATTTTCTGTGTTCTGCTACAATTTAAAAGATTCGAATTTTGGTTGTCTGGAGGGAAGGACCTGTTCCCTCCTACTTTTGGTTTTTATCTGGGAGGTGGGGGCGACATAAGCTTATCAGCCATGAGCCCATGAGGTACTGTGCTGTTCGGCTCTGTTACGGTTCTCAGTCCTATTAAAATTTAGGGGAAACCAAACCAAAACCCAACAATCTGGTCCTCTTTTGGAGAAACCATACGGGTATAATGCAGAACACTACTATAGATTCGGGTATAATGCAGAACTCTACTATAGATTCGGGTATAATGCAGAACACTACTATATATTCGGGTATAATGCAGAACACTACTATAGATTCGGGTATAATGCAGAACACTACTATAGATTCGGGTATAATGCAGAACACTGCTAAGGAATTTTGTGGTTTGATCTGGTTCAACCTTTCTAAGTGTGGTTTTGTCTCAATTGGTCTAGACTGGTAGGTACATGTTTGTTCTATACGTATTTTACAACCGTCTAAGTCTGATCAAGTCGGGTTTAAGTCGGGTCTGAGACTTAAACTAGTCTAATTAAAAACATCCTTAGAGCCCTTTATGTGTTTTTTTTTTCATACTGAAATAACCTGTCATTCTGGGTGCGGTTCTGGTTCAGAATCTGGACTTTGCCGACCCCTGATTGTAATCAATATGCAATCTTTCATTATAAATTAAGTACTTATTTATCACTTTGTAGTCTGTACTATATCTTAGTTTTATCTTTTGTAGTTTTAGTTTAGGGTGGTTTATGTGGGCCAGGATTTAACAGACTCGTTGGATCTGTTGCTTAAAGAGTTAATGTAAACTTAAGTGTTCCTAATAATGGATAGCTATGGTAGCTATCATTTGTTTGGACCTTTTGGTCCTGCTACTGCAATAGGCCTGTTTGTGTTTCTTGAAAAGCTTAACTGTTTCTTTAAGAGTTGGTGACATGAAGTTACTGTCTAATTAATTGTCTGAAAGTGTATTATCGTTATAAGTTCTTTAAAAATATAATAATTGTCAAGTTATCATAATATCATTTGTCAACTAAAAAGTGAAGGGAAAAAAAATAGAAAATTAATTAGTTCAAGCAGCTACATGAATTTAGTATAGTTTTGGTAGACCTCAAGGGTCTGTTTGAATAGAATGGAGTGAGGGTTTTGGTATGGAAGGATTTGGAGGCCTCCGTCGATATCTTAATAATAGAGTGTTTCCAAAACTCAGAAGGCTTATTAAAAAATTCCATTCTTGGAGGGTGGGGACAAAATAAGTATATCCTGTATTTAATTCTGAAGTAGCATTAATCTATTTTCAAATCCGATATTAGTATCCACCTACTAAGATCTTTTAGTTTTCATGGATCTGTCCACTTGAAATTTGATGTTACATATCATTACTATTCATTTCTCATCCTTTTTTAAAGCATATTTTTTATTTTTTGAAATGGGAAAACTCAATTAAACACTCCTGTGTGAAATTAAAAGATTTTATTGGATGAAAATAGACGGATATTTATATCATCTTAGACTAAAATATGATGGATGCTATTTAGGAATTGCATGTATGAGGGAATATTTTTGTCATTGGTCCCAAATGTTGAAGTTTTTTGGGGATAAGCTAACAAATATATGGTGATTGAATGTAATTAGATTGCCTACTATTTTATTATTTCAAAATTGTCAATCTCAAATCTATTTCATGATATTGAATTAGCCCTCCAAAACCTTCCCCTCAAAAAAACCTCAAACTCCCCATCCAAGCAGACCCTAATATAATTTGATTATATCTTGTAATGTATATTTTTTAGGTATGTATATCTTACCAAAATATACATTAGAATAGTAAGTAATGCATCGGATAGCATGCTGCTGGACCATACAGATAAGCTCATTGGACTAGAGTTGGGGCCAATATTATTTCAGATCCTTTACCCTCATTAAAGTATTAAACTTTTGTAAAGAAAATGAAAATGCCAGCAAAGTATGATGCTAATAAACTGTTCTTCATTACAATTTTTATATTTCATGATTGATATTGTATCCTTATTGTCATTCAACTATGGTGTTACATTGATGGTTGTCTTATATTGGCTAAACAATTCTTTTTCTTAACATTATATGGAAAACAGGTGTTTGATTAGAGGCTTTATGGACATGAATAGTGGGACTAGTGAATCACTAGACCCAACCTATTATGCTGATGGCGCAATAAACTACGAGTCGGGTGATTTTGAATGCAATATCTGCTTTGACTTGGCTCATGACCCAATAGTGACACTCTGTGGCCACCTTTACTGTTGGCCATGTCTCAACCAATGGCTTCAAGTTCATTCGCGCTCTCACGAATGCCCCGTCTGCAAGGCCATCATTAAGGATGAAAGATTGGTTCCCATATATGGAAGAGGCAAAGCGTCTTCTGACCCTCGGACGCGTTTGGTTCCTCAAATCCAAAACTATTCCAGACAAGAGAATGAGATAGACTCTGTCGCGAATTTCATGCAAATGCCAAATGAGAGGCTTGGGAGCTTAACACTGTCTTCTCTTTTTGGGGCCATTCCTTCCCTTTTAAACCTTCGTGTGAATGGATTTCATGATGCGACTGTCTATGGGGCAACAACAGGAGTTCCTTACCTTTTTTCAAGTTCCTTTCACGGAGGCTATTCTCATGGGTTTTATTATCATGGAGCACCTCTGGACGGGACAAAGTTTTTCTTGAAAATATTCCTATACTTTGCTGGTTTTCTGGTAATTTTCTGTTTGTTTTTATAGGTTATCATTCTTCAAGTTTAGAATGTGGAATCAAATAATTATGTAGTTGTATATATAAGCAAGCGTAAGTTTTGTTGTATAACTATGTAATTGAAGGGTGTCATACTTTCATTTATTGTTAGCTGCTCGTTTTTGTCGAATAGAGTCTTAGATAAGCTATGCGAGTGTGTGATTAATTATGTGTTGGGTGCTTGGGTAATCTTCCTCAAATTATATCTTACAATTAATTGGCTATATTATGTGCATGGTACAATCGGGTTTTTATTGCCGATGTGTGCTCAGCAGTCAGCACTGATGACCAAGACGAATGCCTTGCTGCTCACACCCAGACGGATGCCTCGCAGCTCACATCCAAACGGATGTATGCCTCATCACTTGCACTGAGACGGATGCCTCTCACACGGTCACACCCATGATGATATCAGACTTGTTGTTTGCGAGTAATTTTATGGAGCCATATGTGACTCTCTTAGGCTATTGTGGCATCACCACCACCATACATTATTTTAGTGGGGATCCTCAATAAAATAATGTGTGGTTTTGGTGATGCCACAATAGCCTATGTGACTCCATAAGAGAGTCACATATGGCTCCATAAAATTTTTGGTTGTTTGCACCAGGACGGCAAAATGCTCGTCTGGCACCAGACACTCCTGCTTGGCCCTCTGACTTCTCCTAGTCCATGAAACTCACGTCACCACCATGTCAGAGCTCGTGATGGGTAGATTAGATTTTGATCACAGTCTCACTGTTCTAAAAATCAGCCCAGTCAGACCGATTAATGTGCCTAGTCGATCCTAACTGTAAAGGACTAATCGGCCTAGTCGGTCAAAAATCGACTTAGCCGCCCAAAAAATCGACCTAGTCGGCCGCCTAGGTGTTAGGCGTCCCTCAATCGCCCGACTAGCGCCTAGCAAGTTTTAGAACATTGATGTTTTGATCTTCAATGCAATGCTCCAATGCTCAATGAAGATGTTTGATCACAATATCATCACATATATCAATGTTCAATAGTAGAGGACATGATAGTCAATGAAAATGTTTTGATGCTTATTAGGGTTTTAAAAAAATTAATATTCAATTATTGTTACAATGCTGAATAGAGGAGTCTTTAATGTTAATGAAAATGTCTCAAGGCTTAATTAAAATGGCTTGATGCTCAACTAGCAGAGTTTATGATTTTCATATCAATTCATATTTCAAAAGTATAATATTAAATTAAATTCACATATTTCACATTCATAAGAGTTGCTTAAAGATATTGTAAGAAACTTTTATAAAAGAAAAAATAAGAAAAAGAAAGTGAATTGGAAGATATAAAGCAAGGATCACAATACAAGTACATTGATGCTAAATTACCAGAAATAATGATTTTCAAATAAACCTACAAAAATGTCACCAGATGTACTGTTTACACTGTACATTCGTACAACCGGATATATGATATCCACACTCATCATCTCTGACCATTGTCTTTGGCACACTTGTAGGTGAATATGATTGATACGAAGTATATAGTAGAGTATTACTTTTATATATTTTTTAATAACGGTTGACATTCAAACAAACAAAAAATTGGGTGTTCAAATATACCGTCGTATTTTATAATGAGTAATTAAAACTGTGAACTAAAAACATGTTTGATCCAATATCATTTAAAGAATGTTATTTAGTTCAATCACACAAAATATTACCTCTGTGAGTGACATGCCTAATAAAAAAAGTGCAAATGTGTGATTTATATCAAAGCGGTAAAGTATAAATAAAGAGAATGAATTTCAACTATTCAAATATTATCTAATACTCCCTCCGTCCCAAAATTATCTTCATAGTTACTATTCACATGGTCAACTCAAATTACTCTTAATCTTTTACTTTATATATCAAATTTTTATCAAACTTAAATTTTCTTGATCAGGCTTTGTAGCGGTTTTAATGTAGTTTCTGAATATGTAAATTTTATTTACTAAAAATAATCCGAGTGTGAACAGGGATCGAGTTGCTTTATCGTCAGTCAAGCATCGTAAACCGAACTATGAAGATAAATATGGGACGGAGGTAGTATGATATAATGCAATCATGCAAATTGTGGCTTAATCTGCTGAATTGATGAACTTCAAATTGAAGCGGCTAAATATGTTGAGTTAATAAATAAAGAATTGTATAAAAAAAGCTAAAATGATCCTCCTTAATAACTTCAAGTAAGCTACTTCAGACAGAAAACTAATTTCAATCTTACGAATTTTGATTATTACGCAATTCAGTGCGTGAAATAAAAAATATATTTTTGGCTGATAAATTAATTGGGTTAATGCGGAAACCCCTTTGTGATATTTAAATTCAGAGCCCGTTTGGTAGCACCAAAATCGGCTGTTTTGGCTGATTCTGCTGAAATTTATGATATTCTGGCTGGAGTGGCTGTTTTGGCTGATTCTGCTGATTTAAGAAAAAAAAAATTTAAAAATATATTTTATTAATAAATTAAAGAAAAAATTATATGTAAAAATAGCTAAAATGGTCCTCTACAGTAACTTCAGCCAATACAGCCAGAAAAGTAACTTCAACCTTACTTTTTCGGCTTATTACACAATTCAGCGCGCGAAAGTAAAAATTACGTGTTTGGTGAAAAAGCTGGCTGATAAGCCTGATAAGCCGAAAACAGAGTTCTCCAAACAGGCTCTCAGCATGATACCCCCTTTGTTATTAAAAAAGCACAAAAGCCCCTTATGTTTTATTAAATTAAGCACATTATCCCTGAAAACAGTGAAAGTAACTTATTTGTATCACACGCGCTATTGATGCGATCTTGAATCATTTTTTCACCTTTTTTTCGTAACTAGTACGATGGTTTTCTCACCTTTTGGTTTCTATGTTTCAGACTTTCAGTATATATCCAGTTTGTGTAAGTGCCACTATATACAATTCAAATTTAATATTCTACATTAAATTATGTGTTGCGAGATTTTGACTCCTTTTACACTCAATTTTTTAAAATATATTTTAAAAATCATCTAAACATCAATCTAAGACCTATATTATCATGAATTTTATTTTAATAAAATAATAAAACTTTATAAAGAAAAATATCAAAATTATGTAAATCAACAATGCAATATAAAAAAAAATAAAAGAAATTAAAATCCGTCATATTTAAGATTTTAAAATCTGTCATAGTTTTTAAACATTTGGATCGCGGACTGACAAATGCTGGGTCTCTGACTCAATAATTTTCATTTTTTTGAGTCGCGGACTGACATTTAAAATGTTTTTACTTGGACAATTTTCAGTCCCAAACTAGATTAGATCAGATTTAACCAGATCAAATCAGACAAGACTAGACCAGACTTCCATAGTACATTATAAAATACTCAGAGACCCAGCATTTGTCAGACTAGACCTGTTCTGACCAAATCAGACCAGACTTAAACACACTAGACCAAACTAAACCAGTAAATTTCAGTTAGAGTAAAAACATCTTTAACATATCTTTTGAAGTTCTAAATTGAAAAAAACTCTATTATAATATTATTGTAATAAATCAATAACCTTTGTTTATATTGATAAAACCAATTTGAAATACAACCTCAGTTCTTGAAGTTCTAAACTGATAAAACCAATTTGAATTACATATAAGCTAAAGGGTCAAATAGGCCCTTAAACTAGCTTAAAGTGTTCAATTAGTCCCTTATATAGGAGGTTCAGCCCGGCCATCGCCAATTGGGGAGGTTCCCGGTAGAATTTTTTGATGAATTTTTTTGAGCATCTTCTTCATTAAGTCTAGTTTACTCATGCCAAATTTCAGCTAAAAATTCATCCGGGAAGGCAGTCAAATGATTTTTTGAAGATAACTGTGCTATTAAACAGCGCAATACATTTCGTAAAATCATTTGACTGCCTTCACGATTTAATTTTTAGCTTAAATTTGATATGGGTAAACTAGACTTAATGAAGAAGATGCTCAAAAAATTTCATCAAAAAATTCCACCGGGAATCTCTCCAATTGGCGATGGCCGGGCTGAACCTCCTATATAAGGGGCTAATTGAACACTTTAAACTAGTTCAAGGGCCTCTTTGACCCTTTAGCCTTACATATATAGTGCATTACACAGTAGTGCACCATACCATCACCAACCTTTGTTTTTAAGAATACAATTCCAAATTCCAAAAAGCAATAGCAGCATAAAAGAAAAAATAGCAAATTTGCTTATCAGGTTTTCAAATAGCAAATTTAAAGCAAAAACTGATCCATGCGTATTTGAATAATTGTTGGTAAACACTAAACAGGTAAAGGATGCAAGTTGTTATTAAAGCAAGCAACAACCTTTAATATTTAAAAACTAACAAGATATATCACCTGCACACACAAAACTACCAACATCATACAAAACCAGCATATAACTAGAAACAAATAAGCACAACTTAACAGATCCCTCCAAAAAAAGGCCCAACTTAACAGAGTAAAGTTAAACCAGGGGGAGTAGGGGGGATTCCAGTTTTGCCAAACAAAAACAATAAACACTGTGTTGCAGTATCTTAAGTTTTCAAAATAGCAAAATATAGAGCAAAAAATTCATCCTTTCCAGAATGAATAATTGTTCTTAGAAAGTTACTACCATACTAAACTGATCACATGTGCAAACCTATATGTTTTTACTTGAAGCCTTTTGTTTATCTCTATGGAATGAAGTGATCATGTTAGATGTATTACACTGCGTTGGCTCCTAGAATATCCTGTATGCCCAAACAAAAATATAACATGGGAATTAGTGTAAGTCTTATATATATGTTAAGCAAAAAGAACAAGTAAAGAGAATACCCAATATGAAGCATTTGGAAAGTTGTTGGTGTCAAAATGTGACACCATAGAAACAAGCATGTCATGATCAAGTTGCTCCTGGCCATGAAGCTTGAATTTCATTTTTATCTATTTTATTTCAAGAAATAGTAATATAGAAATTCTTAGATTCTATTTACTTACTAATAACCCTAATTGATATTCCTGGTAATGCTTTACATACTAAGCAGCCCAAAACTTTTTCACAAACCAAAAGGTAAAAGTAAAATTTCAAACAATGAAAAACATGAGTTATTGCTCATGAATACCCGGAGCCTAATTATGAGTTGCAGTCCTC